TTTTTTTTTTTTTTTTAACGATTTTATTTATTTTTGACAGAGAGAGAGAGTACAAGCGGGGGAAGCAGCAGGCAGAGGGAGAGGGAGGGGCAGGCTCCGGAGCCCTATGTGGGGCTCCATCCCAGGACCCTGGGATCATGACGCAGGGCCAAAGGTGGACGCTTAACTGTCTGAGCCACCCAGGCGCCCCCCGGAGTCGGATTCTTAACCGACTGAGCCACTCAGGCGCCCCAATTTTATTTTTTAATTTTTGTTTCAGGGGTACAGGTCTGTGATTCATAAGTCTTACACAATACACAGCGCTCACCACAACGCATATCTTCCCCAATGTCTATCACCCAGCCACCCCATCCCTTCCACCCTCCAGGCACCCCAATTTTAGAACATATTCATCAACCTAACAAGAAACCTTGGACCCGTTAACAGTTACTCTCCGTTTCTCCCCAACTCCCAACACTAGGGAACCACTAGTGTACTTTCTATCTATTGATTTGCTTATTCTGGACAATTTATACAAATGGAAGCATGTCACGCTTAACAATACATTTCATTTTCTTTTCTGCAATATTTTTTGCTTATTTTGACAGGTGATTTGGAATTATTTTTATTAGACTTATCTAAAATGCTTGCTATTTGGGACGCCTGGGTGGCTCAGTCGGTTAAGCATCTGCCTATGGCTTGGGTCATGATCCCAGGGTCTTGGGATGAGTCCCGTATGGGGCTCCTTGCTCAGCGGGGAGCCTGCTTCTCCCTCTGCCTGCCACTCCCCCTGCTTGTGCTCTCTCTACCTCTCTCTCTGACAAATAAATAAATAAAATCTTTAAAAAATAAAATGCTTGCTATTTAAATTGCAGGATATAGGAATGAATTTCTGAGTTATTCTTTGTAAAAAAATCTGTTAAATTTTACTCTATTCTTCCTATCATAAAATAATAAGTATAATTTGTAGTGCTTATGCTTATCTAAAATAACAAAAGGCTGGTCTTTTAATGTTTTTATTAAAATGTCATACAGGAGTGCCTGGGTAGCTCAGTTCGTTAAGCATCTGCCTTTAGATCAGGTCATGATCCCAGGTCCTGGGATTGAGCCCCATGTTGGGCTCCCTGTTCAGCGGGGAGCCTGCTTTGCCCTCTCCCCACTGTTCCTGCTCTCTCTCTTTTTATCTCTCTCTCTCAAATAAATAAAATCTTAAACCCCAAAATGTCATAAAATTTTTATTAGGTGGTAACATAAGTGATAAATAAAAATATAAAATGTTTTCATTCTTTGCAAAACGTGTATTTTTATATGTATAGTCTGAGAGGTAATTGAGGGCTTTGAAAGGGTATTTGATTTTCCATAATTTAAAAAATTTTAACATACTTTAAAATCTTTTATTTCCCAATAGCTTGCTATGGCATTGTTCAAGTACCCACTGGACCATGGTTTTGCAGGAAATGTGAATCTCAGGAGAGAGCAGCCAGAGTGGTAAGAACTGTTTATCAAAAACATTAAAATACTTCAATGAAAAAGAAAAACAACTTCAGTGAGTAGCTTAGGATGCTACACATTTAGTTTCAGTTTGAAGGGTTTTCAGTTTTTTGTTCAAATATTGAATTTGGGCCAAATATTGACTTAACAGTTTTAAACCAATTTTATAAACTGTGAAAAACAAATTGAACCACATAAGTATTTGTTGAGGGATACTTTGAATGGATAAAACATAAAGTTGTATTTGGGCTTTAGTTCTACCTACTGTTTTGAAGGGTTAAATTGGCAGTAGAACATAAGGAAGTTAAGGTGATAATTCTGCTAGGTTCTGCTTAATGAATAAAAAAACACAAGAGTTTAACCACTGTATTCTTTTTACTACATCTGCATGTGTATAGTTTAACTTTGAATGCTCAGTATTTTCACACATTCAGTTCTTTTGGCAAAGCAACATAAAAATTTTCCTTTCTTACTTGTCTGGCTACCTTCTTTCTGAACACTTTTGTAAACTTCTTGTAGTCATGAGGGAGGTATGTTTATTCTTTGTGGTCCAAAGCGTTTTTTTTTCAATTGAACTTCTGGAAATAACAGGGAGAAATAGATTTAATTTTCATTAATCATATAAAAGTATTACCATTTGCAGTGTGATAGTTCCTTCTTTTTGGTGTTGGCTAGAGAATTTGACAGAGGTAGAAAACAAACATTTGAACTTCTTCTTTTTTTTTTTTTTTTAAAGATTTTATTTGACAGAGAGACGCAGCAAGAGAAGGAACACAAGCAGGGGGAGTGGGAGAGGGAGAAGCAGGCTTCCCGCTGAGCAGGGAGCCCGATGCGGGGTTCGATCCCAGGACCCTGGGATCATGACCTGAGCCGAAGGCAGACGCTTAATGACTGAGCCACCCAGGTGCCCCGAATTTTGTTGGTTTTTAAGGGAAACTCTTTGTAGGTAGGCATTCATTGTTCAGAAAAAGCACTTGATGGGGCTTCTGGGTGGCTCACATGGTTGAGCATCTGCCTTCGGCTCCAGTCATGATCCCAAGGTCCTGGGATCGAGCCCCACATCAGGCTCCTTGGTCGGGCAGGAAGCCTGCTTCTCCTTCTATCTCTATTGCTCCTCCTGCTTGTGCTCTCTCGTCCTCTCTGTCAAATAAATAAAATGTTTAAAAACAAAACAAAACACTTGAATTGCTTCATTTACCTCAAGTGAACATGTATTTTTGCTGAAGATTTTTTTTTAAAGATTTTATTCATTTGAGAGAGAGAAGGAGAGAGGGAGAGTGCACAAGTAGGGGGAGAGGCAGAGGGGAGGGAGAAGCAGACTCCGCGCTGAGCAGGGAGCCCGACTGGGGCTCGATCCCAGGACCCTGAGATCATGACCTGAGCTGAAGGCAGGCGCTTAACCGACTGAGCCACCCAGGCGCCCCATGCTGAAGATATTTTATTAGGCCTTAAAACTGTTTGGGAACCACTGTCTGCTGGTTAGAGGTTAAAACTCTGATGACTATTTTGTATTTAATGAGTATTTGTTCTTAATTACCACAGGCTGAAGAGATTTACTAGAAATGTTATATATTTATATACTTTTAATGGGATAAAGAGGATATGTTAGGTTTTAAATATTCTACTTTGAAAACATGGTGAGTGGATTGTGGAAAAAAAAAAATGGCCAAAAGCCCATTAAGAATTTGCATTATTTAGGGGCGCCTGGGTGGCTCAGTCGTTAAGCATCTGCCTTCGGCTCAGGTCATGATCCCAGGGTCCTGGGATCGAGCCCCGCATC